GTGTGTGTGTTTTGTGTGTGTGTGTGTGTTTTTGGTTGTGTGTGTTTGTGTGTTTGTGTGTGTGTGTGTGTGTGTGTGTGTGCGTGTGTGTGTGCGTGTGTGTGTTACATACCCCAACAATGTCACAGTCACAGCAAGCAATGCTAGTTCATAAGTTACAGAGCGGGATACCAATCTTATTCGTTATTTTCAACTATATTCAGAATGAAGATTTTCGTATCAGCAATCCTGCTGGCCTGCGTGGCCCAGGCAATGTGCTCTGCTTACGGACAAGGAGGCATCCGCGGCGTGCAGGGAGGCAACATCGGAGGAGGAGGAGGAGGAGGAGGAGGCGGGTTTAGGACAGGCGGCATTTCCGGTGGCGGACAGTTCAGCGGAGGTCGTGTTGCAGTTGGTGGCGTACGTGCCGGTGGATTCAGCGCTGGTGGCGCTCGCGGCGGCGGCATCAGGGTTGGTGGCGCTCGTGGCGGTGGATTCAGCGCTGGTGGCGCTCGTGGCGGCAGCTTCGGAGGAGGCAGTATCAGCTCCGGTATCAGTTCCGGTAAGCAATCACACACGGCAAAATGTTCTCAGTAAACCTTAAAGTAAAAGCTACTAGATGATAGATAATGCATGCGCAAGTGTGTACATGTATGCTTGTGCTCTTACTATTCTTCCATTTTCTAATGAATTTATTTTTGTCCTTATTCAAAACCGTACCATATAAATCTTACCTATTACTCGATATTCAAGCATTCGTATATCCCATTGATTTTATTTACTCGTGTCAAATACTGTCCGGTAAACAATCGTTAGTTACTGTTCGATATTCAAGCACTGCTCTCACTCCCACATTCCTCAATCTCTCTGTGTGCAGGCTTCGGTGGATCCCGAGGTGGAACCATTGACCCGAACAACTTTGCCAACATCGACGCCAGCGACTTTGGTTTCGACAACTTCGGCAACTTGTACATCAACGTTGAGGCTTTCGACTTCAGCAACTGGAGGAACGCCGCCCAGGCCGCCGCTCCCCGTGAGGCAATCAACGCCGCACAGACCGAGCAGATCGTCATCGGCCGTCGATTCCGATCCGGATCCGCCCGCCAGACGGAGACCAGCTCGGCCTCGAAGGAGGGCAGCGGCAACGGAGAAGCCGGCATCGAGTTGTCTGCCTCTCGCACCGCCTCCCAGGACGCCACCCAGCAGTTCACGCAGCAGGCGAGCGGAGAGGGCAAGACCGAGCAGGGAGCGACGTACGGATTCGAGAAGAACAACAACGGAGAGATCCGCTTCGCCCCGGTCAAGCTGGACTCTCTGCCCGTCCACTCCGGACCACGTAGCCAGGTTCCAGTGCGCCGCACCAGCCAGAAAAGCTACTAAGCTGCGTTGGACTCACGACTGCAACCCGGAACACTGACCTACCGACAATGATCCACGTACTTCGCGCAATCGCCAATCATCGGCAAATATCGGCAGACATCAGCAAACATCGCTGTATAGACACTAGGCAAACTCAATGACTCGGTCGTGGTTTCCGATACGCTTTTTCCGAATATCTCTGCTCTCCCTTCCTCCTCTCTTTCCCTACTCACCCCTCCCCCTCTCTCTCTCTCTCTCTCTCTGCACTCTCTATTCCTCTCCCGATCTCATATTCCTCTTAAACACCGCTGTGATGTAAAACAACATTCATCGCAACTGTTGGAATAATTTATTGTTTCTTACGCGCTAAATTCTCCGGTGAATACGTAAACGCGTAAAACATATCTACATATATGTAGATATTTCGGCGTCCCGTACTGGCGCTAACGCTCCTGCGTCAGCTCAGGGATAGAGGGAAGGATGTAACCGGGAGAGGACACGAAGATCCGAACCCGAGACTTGGCTTAAACGTGTAAAGCAATTGTGACAAATCAAGGCCAATCATGTGTAATTCGTCTCGTATATATTTATTCGCAACAAATAAAAATGCATTATCCAAAAGAAATCGACGATACGTTGTTTTTGTGTGCATGCGTGGAATTGTCGGCCATCACATTCACACCTCCTCATCAAAAGTTACCCCCCCCCCCGTTTTATTTTATCTACTGATGCCGCGTGGGATATCGAGATTTGGCTACATAATTATCTTATACACACTACACAGCGCTGTGCTTTACTGTTCAGCGAAAGAATACATGTAGGTTTTACAGTTAGGCTCTCGCAAATAGTAAAACACTGTTCCGGATATCTATGAAATTATATACATGGTTTGCAGTGCGCACACGTGTAATACACTGTGTGTTTCTAGAGGACATGTTATCACGGACATGTCATCAAGGGAAGACGTGCATGTTAGAGCATTAAAATCTGTGCGGCAGCAACCGCAGTAACACCAGCAACAGTAGCTAGTAGTAGTAGCAACAGCAGTAACACCATGGTGTTGTTGTTGCTGCTGCTGCTGCTGTTGCTGGTGTTACTGCTGTTGCTGGTGTTACTGCTGTTGCTGGTGTTACTGCTGTTGCTGGTGTTACTGCTGTTGCTGGTGTTACTGCTGTTGCTGGTGTTACTGCTGTTGCGCAACAGCAGCAGCAGCAGCAACAACAACACCAGCAACAGCAGCAGCAGCAGCGCCGTACTGGGTGGAACAAAATCAATGAGCCATCGACAAGCGCTAAACTGAACTACTCAGCTACTAGCGGAACTAAAAATGACGCGTATACAGACCCTAGTACAGGGCCGCGGTGCGGAAAGTAGGTCCACTAAGCGGCCGAAGAATTGTGGAAAAATTAAGAGCAAACCACGCGTGATATAATTAGCTGGCGACCTAAATATCAACACAAACAGCTACCAGTACTGATTATATACAATATATATATATATATATATATATATATATATATATATGTGTGTGTGTGTCACGCGTTACCGTTGGTGTGTGAGTGGTGTGTGCTGTGTGTGCGTGTGTGGAATGCATGTGTGTGTGTGTTGTGTTGTCTGTGTGTGATGTGTGTGTGATGTGTGGTGTGTGTGTGTGTGATGTGTGTGTGTGTGTGCTGTGTCGTGCTTTGTGTGTGTGTGTGTGTGGTGTGTGTGTGTGTGTGTGTGCCTTGTGTGTAGTGGTGTCTGTGCGTCGAGTGTGTGCAATGTGTGTGCGCGCGCGCGGTGTGTTGCTGAGTTGCGCGGTCTTGTTGTCATCACCTGGCTGATTTTACGAATATCACCCAAATATTTAAATTTCATAGTTTAGCGAAAGAACCTGTAGTTAGCATGTATTACGTGAGGCCGGGACTGAAAAAAACCAATTTCCCCGAGATAGCAGTCAATCGGAACGTTAACGGTTGACGAGCTTCGGTTCACCAAACATCCGCGTTGCCACGAACAACAATGAAAACTAATTCATTGCTATTATTAGCTGGCGCTCGCCCTCGCGTGCGGTATTATGCCTCTCATCGAACGCTGGGGTGCGCTATTTATATGTGCGATGTGCGGTGCGATATTATCTGTTACTGCGCGGAAATCGAAGCGATTGTCGTGAAATTGAGTTTCGATAAGCATGTCACATCGCCGCGCGCTCAGTAATCGCAGCGGCGGAAGGGCTACATGCGAGCACCGCTGACCAATGTTATGTGTTACCAGACAGCATGCCAGGCACACAGGACGACGGGCCTACCTCACCTCTACTCTCTCTCTCCTTCTCTTTCTCTCTCTATCTATCTCTCTTCTCGCTTGTCTCTTCCCCTCTCTCTTCTCTCCTTGCTCTCTCTCCCTTTCTACTTTTCTGCTTTATTTCTTCTCGCTTTTGTCCTTTTTTGCCACCTCACAATCTCTTCGTTATATGTGAAATCTATTATATATACACTTTACATATATAAACATAGTTCTTACTTCTCTTGCTCTCTTTCTGCTCTCACTCTATGCTACTGCATCACTATCATTGGCACCTCTCCTGCTCTTGTCTCTTCTCTCTCTTCCTCTCTCTCTCTCCTCTCTTCTCACTTCTCTCTTCTCTCTCTCTCTCTCTCTCTTTCTTATCTCTCTCTCTCTCTCACTCTCTCTCTCTTTTTTTTCTCTCTCTCTCTCTCCGCTTGTTCGCGATATCCCTGTATCTTTTCTCCATACTAACTCTTTTTTCTCTTGCTCTCATTTCTTTCACTTTCGCTTTGTCCCTCTCTCTCACTCACTTCTTCTCTCGGCGCGCGCTGCTCTCTATCTCGCTATTCCTGTATCTTTCTCAATCTAATTCTATCTTTTCCCTTTCTCTCTTTTCTTTTATTCTCTCTTGCCTCTAGGGTAAAAGTTTAGAGGCAATTCCCCTCTCACGCGTTTAACGGCGCTCGCATTGGATTCCAATCTACTCCAGCCACACGTAATGGAAGCGACACATGTACACACACACACACACACACCACACACACACACACACACACACACACACACACGCACACTACACACACCACACACACCCACACACACACACACACGCACACACCACGCGCTACGCGCCCACGCGCGACGGCGCACCCTCCCGCACTATCGCTACACGCACCACTGCACACGCACACGCACACGCACATCCACACGCACACGCACAAACGCACACGCCACACGCACACGCACAGCAGCACACGCACACGTCCACACACTACGCCACACACACACACAACGCCACACTGTACACTGCACACATCACACGCACCAATCTACCGAAATATTTCCCAAGTAACCGATAACTCAACTACTGATCAGCTTCACTCTGGCCCCCTCGCTCCCCCCTCCGCCCTCCCCTTCCCCCTTTCCCCTCCTACCCCCCTCTCTCTCTCTCTCCCCTCTCTCGGCCACCATCGCCTAGACGCATTCATGCGCTCTTGATTGCTAATAAAGCCGTATAAGACCGATCAAGGGCAGACGGCATGCTATTTTTTTTCTGCAGGATACAGCGCGTTAGGTGTCCGTGGATTTGGGGGAGCGGTGGACCGACCAGGCTCCTCTCCGCGGTCGCAGGTGCGGGTGCGGTGCGTGTGGTGGGGTGGGGCTGGGATGGGTGGGGTGGGCGCTGGGGTGGGGGTTGTGAGAGATATACAGAGTGTACTCTACGGTGCTTACCGTGCGAATCAAGATACCTCGTAAACGCAGGAGGAGGGAGGAACGCGAGGTATAGATATCTGCGTTGTTTTCTTTAGGGTGGGTGGAAGGAGAGGGTACAATGTTTAAGCGGTGGGAGGGGGGGGGTTGGCTGGGGACTGCAGTGGTAAGGCGGTGCGTGGTGGCTAAAATGAAATGAATTGAAAAGGTCTTAACAATAATGGAGGAAAATCGGTGTTTGGGTCAGGCTTAGCGTGGTAACAAAAGCTGTAGTGACTAATAGGGCTGGATCAGCAGCAGTGTTTGGGTCAGGAACGGGACATATAGATAGTGGTACTATATTACCTGTACCGACCTATTGGGCGGTAGAAGCAGTGTTTGCATGAAGCCGTGATGTTTGTTAGGATGTGAAACTGCAGTTTTTGACTAGAAGCTGAAGTGTTTTAGCCTCTTCCGCCCATCTCATATAGCTCGACCTCCTTCCACCCACCCTCCCATACACCCGACCACTAACAATAACATACAACATAAACAGACGATCTAACCTCAACGATGCACCATCTTACCTAATCATCGTACCCAACCTACACCGACCCTTCCAACCAACTCTACGCCCACCTATCAAATATCCCCGCCTCAACCAACCACTAATTTATCCTCCCACATACCAACCCACCCATCGCTATAGTCCCATCAATGAAATACCTTCATTCACTGCACAGACCCTTCGCTCTAACCCACTCACCCATCCACCCACTCATTAGTCCACTCACCCACCCATCGCTCTCACCCCTGAACCAACCAACCACCCACTCAATAATCAATGCACCCTGTCGCCTATTAGACCACGCACCACCCACTTAATCATTAATCCACCTGCAATCCCCCTCATCAGCTCACGCACCCACCCAATCATCAGCCCACGCACCCACCCATCGCCCTCACCCCCCGCGCGTCCTGGGCACACTGATCTATATAGCCAGCCACGTTGACCAGTGAAGCTTGCGCTGCAACAAGCTTTGCTGTGCAGATGGCTAACCGAGATAGCGTCCGCGGGTCAGCGTCCGCTCGTGTCGGCTTATAACGTCGGCTACGACCGTCCGTCGTCGCACAACTGCTTCACACTTGTAGACCGAGGCTCGTCGTCGTTCCTGCTGCTGTTTTTTTGCTCAATACTAAAGGACGCCAATACGAGAAGGTATGAGTCTTCGGAGACGGTCGTGTGGGGAGAATGTGCCAGCCGAGATACATGGTTGGGAGTGATGACGATGAGTTTGTTGATGACGATGTGTTGCATGCGTGTGTGGTGATTGTGTGCGTGCGTTTTTGTGTGCGCGCGTGCGTGTCTTTGCTCGTGTGTGTTTGCGTGTGTGTTTGCATGTGTGTTTGCGTGCGTGTTTGTTTGTATTTAGTTTGCCTGTTATGTATACACGTTTATGTTACGGTTTGTATGTATGGATATGACGTTAAAGTATAGTAGTGTAGTAGTATTGTAGAGTAGAGTAGTGTAGTAGTGTTTTAACCCGTAAGTATACATTTACACTTTAGCGGCTGTTACTGGCGTGTGCCTGTACCTCAGTGTGCATGACACACTCATATTCTCTTTCTACAGAATGAAGATCTTCGTATCAGCAATCCTGCTGGCCTGCGTGGCCCAGGCAATGTGCGGTAGTTACCGACAAGGAGGAGGAGGAAGAGGAGGAGGAGGAGGAGGAGGCGGGTTTAGAACAGGTGGCGCGCAAGTCAGGCAGGTCGTTTCCGGTGGCGCTGGACGCGTCGGTGGATTCAGCGCTGGTGGCGCTCGTGTCGGTGGATTCAGCGCTGGTGGCGCTCGTGTCGGTGGATTCAGCGCTGGTGGCGCTCGCGGCGGTGGATTCAGCGCTGGTGGCGCTCGTGGCGGCAGCTTCGGAGGAGGCAGTATCAGTTCCGGTATCAGTTCCGGTAAGTAACAAAGCGACCAAATGTTATGTCATAAACTACTACTACTACTAAAACATTACAAAAATAAAAGCGATAAGTGATAAAGTGTCTGCGAGCGTGCGTGTATCCGTGCGTGCGTGTGTGCGTGCCTGTGTGCGTGTATCCGTGCGTGCGTGCGTGCGTGCGGGCGTGCTTTCATCCGTTCGAGAGTGTGTCCGTGCTGTGTGTGAGAGATTCTGTACATCATAGTTCTGATATCTTCTGTATATATGTATACATAATGAATCACAGGACCTTACAGTATATCTTTTCTGTAATCCTATGCGATTCCTTCGTAAATAATCATAGATTATGCTCACACCCACCTTCCTATCTCTCTTTCTCTATGTGCCCCGTCGTTCAGGCTTCGGTATGGCTCAAGGTGGAAACATCGACCCCAACAACTTCGCCAACATCGACGCCAGCGCCTTCGGTTTCGACAACTTCGGCAACACGTACATCAACGTCGAGGCTTTCGACTTCAACAACTGGAGGAACGCCGCCCAGGCTCTCGCTCCCCGTGAGGCAATCAACGCCGCACAGACCGAGCAGATCGTCATCGGCCGTCGATTCCGATCCGGATCCGCCCGCCAGACGGAGACCAGCTCGGCCTCGAAGGAAGGCAGCGGCAACGGAGAAGCCGGCATCGAGTTGTCTGCCTCTCGCACCGCCTCCCAGGACGCCACCCAGCAGTTCAAGCAGCAGGCGAGCGGAGATGGCAGCACCAGTCAGGGAGCGACGTACGGATTCGAGAGGAACAACAACGGACAGATCCGCTTCGCCCCGGTCAAGCTGGACTCTCTCCCCGTCCACTCCGGACCACGCAGCCAAGTTCCTCAGCCAATGCGCAAAAGCTACCAAAAGTGGTAGAGGGCAGTAACAGCCATGACGTCATCGTCACGTAATCGACCTAATTACTAATTTAGCAACCTTTTTGCATGTGTATCGTAAATTAAATCGAAGTAATTGTGAATATCAACAACAGTTATTACAGAAACGGGGCCAAGATTGGACTCTTGCGCTTTTTTCCGGACGTATTATTTTCTCTAATACCTCTAATCGTTCGCGTTCCATTTCTCATCTGCGAGAAACGCGCAGACGACGTCACGTGATCAACATCCGGGCACATGCTCGCTAGGAGCGGGGCGTGGGTGTAGTACTCTTGAGTAACGTAACTACATGTAAAGTCGTATAACCGGGATGTTTATACAACCCGAGGCAACAATGCGAACCAATGATTTACAAGTGATAAGCAATTGTGACAACGTCGGGCCATCATTACTCGTTTATATATTTGTATATTTGTAATAATATATTGTAATATGTTTACACTAACAGTAAATATAAAATCTAAACCGAGCATTTGCGTTTATTTGATTTCACCTGTCACAATTTTTTTTTTTTATCATTACCACCACCACCACCACCACTACTACTATACTACTACTACTATACTACTACTACTATACTACTGCTGCTGCTGCTGCTGCTGCTGCTGCTGCTGCTGCTACTACTAATGCTACTGCTACTACCACTATCATTAATTATTTTTCACATAATTTCCGTGTAAATACTGTTGATATCGCCAGAAAATAAAAATTTACAAGCGGGGTGCTCTTGACAAAAGTAAGGTCCTACTCGCCGCACCTAATAGTTCGGGGTTGAAACTGATGTAGGTGAGATGTATTACGTTGTTGTTAAGTGCTTTAACCTTGCAAGTAGATTTCGTGTAATAATTGTTGATGCCTTATTGACGCCGAGGTTAGAATGATAGTACCACAATCGTCCCTATCCGCCTGGGTGATTTCATGGGGACTTAGCCCTCAACCAATCAGCTTCCGGGATAAGGCGGCTTCAAAAACAATATGTGAGGGAATTAAACAAACACAGTGACATGCAATGAGCGGACAGACAGTATACATACATCACACACGAACATCACAACACACACCTATCACACACACTATCACACACTACATGCACGTTTCCTGAATTCACACACCACACACCAAGGCAAGCCAACAACTTCGCACGCTCAATGAACGTAAGCGTAATGCAAAACGTAAACATAACAGTTACTTTCACTAAACTTACGAACTCTGATTAAGCTAATATAATGTGATAATAACCAATATAAATGCGTAATATATAATATCAAGCCTAATAATTAACTAAGCTATGTTAATACTTAGATACGATCTAATTAACAGGCATTTTATGAGCTACATAGGCGTAGTGACAATCAATTTGATAGTTCCTAAAAATATTTCAAAGGATTGGCTGTGGACGAGATAGAACCCTAGTTAACTAAAGCGTATGGTGTCGCAAAGAAGAGCTGGTTTAGTTAAGTTGACCTCGAGGGGAGCGGTCGTGAAAACGTGATCGGTCTACGACCGTGTACGTGGAATGAATTAAATAATTAGAATAGGTGGGCTGCGAGGGAAAGAGAGAAGAGAGCGAACGAGAGAGAGAGGAGAAGAGACGAAGAGAGAGAGACAGAGAGAGAGAGATGAGTGGCAGAGCATGAGAGAGAGAGAGAGCAGAGAGAAAAGAAGAGAGAGACGGGTGAGGCTTTAGGATGGACGAAGGATGGGACCGATGCGTGTGTAGGATGTAATGAGCCGTCGAAAGTGTGCTTCAGGAGAGACGGGAGGAGAGCTAGGTAATACCGGAAAAGTGTGCCGTAGAGAGTGTGAGCCGAGATAGTGTTACCAGAAGGTGTAAGCCGCAGGTGGTAATTTTTGCAAGGATAAAACGAATCTGAAATCAGCGGTAGAGAAGAGAAATCAGAGAAGTATGGAGACTGAGAGTGAGAGGCAGACTAAAGAAGATAGCGAGACGAGGGACAAGGGGAGATAAATCTAGGAGCTAGCGCATGCCCGCGATGTACCAGCAGGAGTGCGAGAGAGGAGGAGAAAGAGAAAGGCGAAAACAAAGAGAGAGAGAGGAGAGGCGAGAGATGGAGAGAGAGAAGAGAGAGAATGGAGAGAGAGAGAGAGAGAGAGAGAGAGAGAGAGAGAGCGGGGCGCAGAGAGAGAGACGAGAGAGATGGAGAGAAAGAGAGAGGAGAAAGAGAGACGCGAGAGACGCGAAGAGCGAGAGAAGAGGAGAGAGAGAGGAGAGAGAGCAGAGGAGGAGAGCCCGCCGATGAGAGAGCAGACCGCGAGAGAAAGCGGCTAGGAGAAGAGAGAGAGAAGAGGGAGAGAAGAGAGAGCGATGAGAGAGAGAGAGCCGAGAGAGGAGGAGTAGGGAGAGGTCCGATAGGCCATAAACCGACGACAGAGAGAGAGAGGTACCACCGTCGGAGCAGTCAACAACTAGTCATAGATTATAATGGCAAACTAACAGCTATGTAATTAATTACCTATATTTTATCCCTTTTACTACTCGGAAGAAAGGCGTCCGCAGTGTACAGAGTACTCAAACAGGCAATATACCGTCTCAGTACGAGAATAGTTAAGAAAGAAATTTCGTTTCCGCAGCCAGTGTCCTACACATATGCCGTAGTTTTCCCGCATATATCATATTGATGATTTTACATATTGTTGGTTTCCATCATTGTTTATTCTACCCACCCCCCGACACCGCCCCTACCGCCACACCCACCCCCCACCTCCCCCGTTTATTTGGCAAACCTATGAAAGAATACCGCACTTGATTTGTTTCAACAATACTCACGCAACATTTTTTCGTGCTTGCGCGCAAACCTTAAGTCGACTCTCTTCTCTCTCTCTCTCTCACCATACACACTCTCTCTCACTTTCTCTCTACATCTCATTCTCCTACTAAATCTCTAACTCCTCGAATCTCTCTTTCTCTACCATATCGTCTTCTCGTCATGTAATCTCTCACGCTGCCTCTACCTCTGTTTGCTCTATTCTCGTCTGTTTTCTCCAACGGCGCCCTCTCTATCTCTCTATTGTACTCCTCCGACGCTCGCTTTATATGCTCTACTTATCTGTTGTCAGAAGACATTCCGAAGCTCCATCCGTTATTCGTGGAATGAGTTCACACATACCAACACGGTGGTGAATGGTGCTGTGGTGGCTTACGCCGATTATTTGTTTTTTGCGTAATTCTGTCGTGCGCGAGCGTCGGCACTCAGTGTGGGTTTGGGTTATATGTTTGTGTGGATGTCTGTGCGTTCGGCGTAGTGTGCCGTGTCGGTCTTCGTGGCCGTTCATGTCGTCTGTCGCTGTCGCGTGCGTATGTGCGCTCCCGCCGTGTGTGTGTGTGCGTTTGTATGCCATTGCGTAGCCCCTGTTGCAATTATTGTGTGGCGCGGGCACACGCCTCGTGTGGGTTTAATGTATTTGTGTGTGGTGTGTGTGTGGTTTGTGGCGGTGTGCGTGTGGTGTGTGGGTGCTGTGCTGTGTGTGTGTTTGTGTGTGTGTGTGTGCGCGTATAAGTGTGAGCGAGCGCCTCGTGTGGGTTGGTCTAGGATTAGGGTTTAGGGTTTGGTTTAATGCTATGTTGTTATTCTTAGTGGGTATTATTCTTGAAACATCTACTTTCCATACACACATTCTCACTAGTTCTTTCTTTTCCTCTAACCAACCAAACTTAAAAATACGAAACTAAAGAACGTTAAAGTTAACACTGCTAAATGACATCGAGCAGAAACTTCATTTCATCTCTGATCTCCGAATTATGTAACAACTAGACATTACTACTAAAATACAGTTCACCCCGATTCGCGTATTTATTTCTGTTATGAACCGACAGATGGTGCTATCGGACCGCGTCGTCTGTTACGTGTCAAGTAGTGGAGCACTCGGCGACGAAGTACCGTTCAGCCGCTCAGCGACGCCCTCCACCCTACACAGGTAGTGCCAACCGTCGCATATGCTGTTCTCTTGTTCGAATGTTGTTCTTACACTGCGACGCGCCACTCCTCCTAAATGTCGGCCTCGTTAGCCATAAATTACGTCAGTCACGTGATTGTTAACGTCACGTGATAATTAGGCGATATGCTGTCGTATGCTAGCGTTCACGTGTCATTGCGCACGCGCGGTATTATGGGATGTCAAGATGGAGTCTGTAATATCTCGTATCGCTGTGTTCTTCGCACACAGTGCAGCGGGGCTCACGGTAAGTGCTAGTGATAACACAATGCTGTTCTCTTGTTATTGTACAATGGTGGGGGATGAGGAACGGGGCGATGCGAGCGGGGGTCCCCCGGCGCGTGGCGTAGGAGATGGGAGGCGCTGCCGCGACTGGGTTGACGGGCCCCGGGCGCCCGTGGGGAGGGGCCTCAGTCCCCGCACCGGGGTTCCAGTCGTCCCACCAAACAAACCAACAAAACACACAACACACGCGTGAAAAAACAACACACCAAAGGCTCACAAAACGAACCTCACACCCAACACCCACCAACATCGACCACCCCACCCCCCCAACTCCCCCACAACTACCCCCACGCCCCACCAATCCAGACAAACCAACCAAGAAAACAACCAAAATGGCCAACCAAGAACACACACGCCCAGGACAAGAAACATCAACCACACACAACATAAACAAAACACCACAAACCAGCAGCCACCACCCCCGACCCACCCACGCCCAAACACTAAAAACACAATAATCACTATACACAACACTGTAAACACACCTAATCAACAACTACAAAAACACACACCACACAATAATAACACCCATACCCCCACAACAATGAATAAAAATCACCACACACCACAAAAATATAAACACCACTTCCATAAACAACATAACAAAAACAAGATACACCATCAAAAACTCGATATTAGCCGAAACAAACCAGTTAAATATTATAACTAGACACAAAATTAATTACAAAATTGAAGAATTATAGAATATAAGATTTATTAAGCCAGTACATATTGTAGTAATACAGATCAATATACTTAGACAAAAAACGGATGAATTAAATAATAATTAAAAATAGAATAAATATTAACGTTAGAGATAAAATAATAGAATGAGAGAATTAGATAATTAATAATGTGGAAGATAAAAGTATAATAATTAGATAAAGAAAAAATAAGAAAAAGAGTTGACTTAAAGTGTTTAAGAACGCGAGTTATTTCCACAAAATCCGAGTCAAATTGCAGCTAATATGAATGCATCCGCGGCGAATCTCCACTGACCCATAGCCCGCGAGCAAAACCCCCGGCCCGAATAGCAATAACAGACTGCGATGCGAAATTGTTTAGACTTCCTCCCACGTCGCCGCGTTGCATAGCGATGCGTCCGAGTGCGAAGGCGAGTCGAACGAACTATTTTTTTTTTTGTTTTTTTTTGGTGCAGACTAGATGACCGCGAGAGATGATATATAGGTCCTGGCCACTGCCCATTAAACAGCGGTGGTGAAAGGCTAGCCTACTTTGAGTCCACTCACTTTTAAACCTCGCGACTGGAATGCGACGTCGGCGGTGTACAGCTGATACTTACTGCCGACGAAACCGCCACCAACGCGCGTCGATTCTGCCAGCGGCAGTGCTGCCATCGTGCGTGGGTGGCAGGTTCGCGAAGCTTTGCAATCCTAGAAACTAGTATTATCCGCGAGACGTGTGTGTGTGTGTGTGTGTGTGTGTGTGTGTGTGTGTGTTGTGTGTGTGTGTGTGTGTGCGTGTGTGTGTGTGTGTGTGTGTGTGCGGCGTGCGTGCGTGCTGCGTGTGTGTGTGTGTGATGTATGTGTGTGTGTGTGTGTGTGTGTGTGTGGCGTGCGTGGCGTGCGTGCGTGCGTGCGTGGTGTGTGTGTGTGTGTTGTGTGTGTGTTGTGTGTGTGTGTGTGTGTGTGTGTGCGTGCGTGCGTGCGTGCGGTGCATGTGGTGTGTGTGTGTGTGTGTGTGTGTGTGTGTGTGTGTGTGTGTGTGTGTGTGTGTGTGTGTGTGTGTGTGTGTGTACCAGTGTATTTACGCCGTCAATGAAACTTTTTTCCTTATCTGTCGCTGCAATCGTGCGCCGATGCGCGCATGGGCATTGCACCACGCGTAGCCGAAATAAGGCCGGTGGGTTGACAGGTCAAGTGCTGAAGTGTTGCACGCGAATAAGTGAAACTGGTCCAGTGTGTGTGTGTGTGTGTGGTGTGGTGTGTGTGTGTCTTGTGTGTGTGTGTGTGTGTGTGTGTGTGTGTGTGTGTTGTGTGTGTGTGTGTGCGCGCGCGGTTGTGTGTGTATGTGTGTATTCGAGTGCACTGTGTCTGTGTCTATAAGTGTTTGGCGATATCAACAG